ATTGATCTTTTCTCTTGTGTTTCTAGTCTCCATTTCATTTGTTTCCACTCTGATCTTTGTTATTTCCTTCCATCTCCTAACTTTGGGCTCCATTCACTCTTCTTTTTCCAGGTCTTGAGGTGTAAAATTAGGTTGTTTATTTGAGATCTATCTTATTTTTTTGATGTAGGCATTTGCCCCTATGAACTTTTTTCCTAGAACTGCTTTTGTTGCATCCAATAAGTTTTGGTATGTTGTATTTCCATTTTCATTTGTCTCAAGATATTTTTGATTTCTCTTGATTTCTTCTTTGATGCACTGGTTGTTTAATAGCACATGGTTTAATCTTCACATACTTGTGAATTTTCCAGTTTTCTTCTTGTAATTGATTTCTAGTTCCACACCGTTGTGGTCAGAAAACATGCTTGATATAATTTCAATCTTCTTATCTTTATTAAGGCTTGTTTTGTGGCCTAACATATAATCTATCCTGGAGAATGTTCCATGTCTGTTTGAGAAGAATGCATATTGTATATCCTGTTGCTTTTGGTTGGATTGTCTGTATATGTCTGTTAAAGTCCATCTCACTTAATGTGTCTTTCAAAGCCACTGCTTCCTTGTTGATTTTCTGTCTGGATGAACTGTTCATTGATGAAACTAGAGTATTAAAGTCTCCTACTATTATTATATTGCTCTCTATTTCTCGCTTTAGGTCTGTTAATATTTGTTTTATATATTTAGGTGCTCTTATGTTGGGTATATCAGCCATTCTTTTTTTTAAAAGATTTTATGTATTTATTCGAGAGAGAGAGAGAGAGAGAGAGAGAGAGAGAGAGGATGAGTGGGGGAGGGGAAGAGGGAGGGGGAAAAAGAGGAGGAGAGAAGCAGACTTTGCACTGAGCAGTGACCCTGACACTGGGCTTGATCCCAGGACTCTGAGATCATGACCTGAGCCGAAGGCAGATGCTTAACCAACTGAACCACCCAGGTGCCCCAACCATTATTTCTTTAAATAAGTTTTCTACCCCTCTCTCCCTCTCTTCTCCTTCTGGGAACTCCAGTGATGTGTATAATATTTTTGTTTATGGTATTCTATAAGTCCCATAGTCTGTCTTCTTGCATTTTCATTCTTTCTTATTCTTACTCCTTTAATTGGATAAGTTCAATTGATTTGTCTTCTAGGTCAATGATTCTTCTGCTTATTCAAGTCTGTTGTTGAAGCTCTCTTTTGAATTCTTCAGTCCAGTCACTGTATTCTTCAGTTCAGTTCAGTTCAATTTCCTTTATGTTTTCTCTTCGTTGAACTTCTCATTTTATTCCTGTAGCTTCCCTGATATCAAATTGTTCATTTGTGTTATTTTATACATCTTTGAGCATCTTTAGAACAATTATTTTGAACTCATTGCAGTTAAATTGCTGGATCTCCATTTGTCGTGTGTGTGGGGTGGTTAGTTACAGGAGGTTTATTGTGTTCCTTTGGTGGAGACATGTTTCTCTGACCCTGTGTCATCCCTGGGGCTTTGTATAGGTGTCTGTGCATTTGAGTAAGCAGTTACTTCTTCTGAACTTTATGGGCTGACTTCCATAAGTGAGTCCTTTTGTGTTTGGGTGGGGTATGCTGGCCTCTGCTGTGACCCCTGGTCTGCTGGTGTGGAGCACCTAGGGCAGGGGCTTGTGACATCACCATGTCTAATCGGGTATGATGCCCCTTTGGCCCAGGATGCCGTGGAGGGCAGCATCCACAACTGAATGGTCCTTTGGGATATGCAGAGGCTACAAGGTGTCTGGTGAATGGCACCATGGGGTCTGCAGAGGCTACAAGGGTTGCCGTCTTCAGTGGCACCTCCAGTTCTGGTGGCCAGGGACCCAGGCAGACAGCAGTGGTGGCTGGAGCCCATGGCAGGTGCACATCCAGCTGCAGGGACCAGCTGCAAATGCCTATGTAGTGGCAGGATCCAGTTGCGGATACCCATGGAGCGGTGGGGGTCAGGGCAGGCAGCAGTGGCCATGGCCAACTATGAGCTCACCGGCAGCTGTGGAGGCCCTGGCTTTTGGTGTGCTCTCCTTTTGCTGCATACTTTCCCCTGAGCATGCGGAGAGCACGGGAGGCTAATGCTGGGGTTGGGCCGGGCAGACACAGGTGTATAAACTGGAGGGTTTTGTGGGAGGGACTCAGGTGACAGGCATCTGGAATACGAAAAAAGAAAAAACGATGGCAAGATATCTTCAAGGTATCCGCGGTGTGTGTGCACTGGCTGTTGGCTTCATCAGTGATGAAAGCCGCTGACTTTGTCTGCACTGTGTTCTCTATACAGCAGCTGCTATTTGAAGATGAATGTTTCTGTGCCTCATGACCTGGCCCTATGTCCACGTGATGTCTTATCCCAGATTACCCCTCTGAGAGTCCCTTCTCATCCATGCAGTTGGAAAAGCAGATATGAGGGCACCTGGGTGGCTCAGTTGTTAAGCGTCTGCCTTCAGCTCCGGTCATGATCCCAGAGCCCTGGGATCAAGTCCCATACCAGGTTCCCTGCTCTTCGGGAAGCCTGCTTCTCCCTCTCCCTCTGCTTGTGTTCCCTCTCTCGCTGTCTCATTCTCTGTCAAATAAATAAATAAAATCTTTAAAAAAATAATGAAAAGTAGATATGATAAAGGGACATGATCTGAGAAAAATTGAGAACCTGGGTAGATGTGAACAGCAGTTTCACCGGTTACTTGGAAAAAGGCAAACAAAGAAGGTGTTAAGCTGATGAACGTTAATATGGGAAAGCAGACCAAAGTGCTATATAGTTTACATTTTTCTTGTGTATGTGAAAAAAAAAAAACCCCACCCAGGCTTGGGGTGCCTGGGTGGCTCAGTCAGTTAAGTGTCTCACTCTTGATTTCGGCTCAGGTTGTGATCCCAGGGTTGTGGGATTAACCCTGTTAATTAAGCCTGGGGTCTGCTTGTCCCTCTCCCTCCCCTTTGCCCCTCCCCCCTGCTCACACACACACATGCTCTCTCAAATAAATGAATAAATCAAAAATTAAATTAAATTTTAAGAATCCTCCCAGGACTTCCTAGTTGGATCAGCAACAAAGGCGATGTCAATGAGGAGCTACCCCAGACACCCAGGTAACGCACATTCCTTTCTTGCCAGCTGATGATATGCATGTCATCTGTCCCCTGGGACCCAGAAGCAGAGTGTTTTCAGTTTACAACCACGTGCATGGTGCCATGCACCGGCTACTTCCTAGAATTCTGCAGTTGGCAGCTGCATGGAATCCTGCTAGCAGAAGGATCTGCTATCATAAAGCTGTTTGTGTGTTCTAGCAAACACTTTGGAGTCTGGAAGATCACATCCAGTGTTACAGTGACAACATCTTTTTTTTTGTCATCCCAACACATCTGAAAGAACAAAGGACTTTGGAGACCCATCGAGAAGGGTTGATAATGATCACAGGTGAAGCCTTTCTGTTAAGGGTAAGCTGGTGGCAGTTGCAGTGGTGGCAAGAAGGGGTGGGCAGTGAATCCCCCATTGATTTCATCAGTGATTTGCAGCTGTTTTCTCTATGTTTGTAGGCCTGGATCTAAGGACAGATCAAATTCACCCTCTGATCCTAACCACCTGTGTCTTCTTATTAGGGAAAATGCTGTGGTAAGGCAAGGGCAGACTATTACTCAAATCTTAGCTGCAGCTTGCTTCTATGTTTTGCTAAACTCCAGAGAAGACAAAGAAAAAATGAAGAAATTGAAAAAACTACTGTGCTATTTGCTCAGTTAGAACTGTTTGCTAAAGGGAATAACCCTTATTCTGGACAATCTATGAAAAGGACAAAAGAAGAAGGGAAAGTGTATGTCAATATTGCCGGAAGTCAGGAGATTAGAAGGGGATGATAGAAAGAGAGTCTAGAGGATGCAGGAGTTACATAAACAGAAAAGCCCAGAAAGCTAGGGAACACTTGATAAAATGGCTTAAAGTGGACAAATTTATGGAATCTGAGTTGGAAACTGGTGCTATTGGTGCTACTTATTCGGCCATTTTCTCAGGAATTTGTCACATTCCATTTGGTGATAGATCAAAAGATTGTTGCATCAGTCTTTTCACTTTTACCCTTTCTGACTTGTTCCATTTCGTCCATGTTCCCATATTGACAAGTCTTCCGACGGATGAACATGTTTTCTTACTTTCTCCTGATTCTTCTGTCCACCAGTTGGTCAGGGTCCAGCAGTGCAACTTAGAGGCTCTCATATTCTGTGCTCCAAATAGACTGTCTGTGCAGGTCCTCTGAAGGCAGTATCAAATCGGTTACTACATGTCCACTAAAGAAAAGGCGATATGGTGGAGTGGCAGTCTCACAGCACTGTAGGAGAACATACTAAGTTGAAAAAAATCAATACATTGTTTGGGGTCTTAGGGAATAATGATACCTATTATATCCAAACTATACAGCCAATAAAAATATTTTACCATAGCCATGTCTAAAACAACATCCTTTGTCAAGGGCTCAATTAGAAGGAATAAACATAATTATAAAAGAATTAGAATAAGAGAAGGGATAATTTTCAAAAGGCACTAACCATGTAATGGTAATGTTTTCAATAAGTAGGAAATTAAATTTGGTAAGGATGGTTACCCACTATATAAATTTGTATAAGATCTTAAAGAACTAAGAAAAATTTGTTGTTCCACTAACCTATACAACTTCTCTGACTTTGATACCTTTGTCTGCCAAGTTTTCCTTTGTAATTGGTTTATCTTCTGTGTATCTGGTAATGATAAAGATTATGGTGAGGATTATGATGGTGATTATGATATGAAGATAGTGAAGAAGTTGCTGTTGCTGCTGGCAATAATAGTGAATGTGATGGATATTTTTTTCTTCTTAGAGAAAGTGAGAGACAGAGCACAAGCGGAGGGGAGAGGCAGAGGGGGAGGGAGAATCAGGCTCCCCGCTGAGCAGGGAGCCAGATTTGGGGCTTGATCCCAGGACCCTGGATCATGACCTGAGCCAAAGACAGACACTGAACCGACTGAGCCATGCAGACGCCCCAGACTGTGATGAGTATTAGTGAATGTGCTGACAAGGCTGGTAAGGATGATAATGATGAGAGTGATAATGGTGATGATGAAGGTGAAGATAATGAGTATGATAACAATGGAGACAATCACAGTGATAGTGTTGACAATGATAATGCTAATTGTGGTGAAGGTGATGATGGTGGCAATATGATACTGAAGATGCTGCTGCTGATGGTGATGATATACATGAGGATGAAGGATATGATTGTGATGATAATGGTAAAGAAAAGAGTAAAAAAAGGGTGATGTTGGTGATGAAGATGAGGATGATGGTAATATTACTTGTAATGACATTGAAAATATTGATGACAGTGAGAATAATGATAATGATGACAATGATGATAGAAATAAGATGATGGTGATAACCATGGTGATGATGATGATGGTAGTGGTGATGATGATGAAAAGAATGCTAAGAATGATGATGATGATGATGATGATGAAGATGATGATGGTTACACTGATAAGACTGAAGACAGTGGGATAGTGATGATGATGGTGATGATGAATGCAAAGCTGCTGAAGACAATGGTAGTGATGAAAATGGTGAGTACAGTGATGAGAATGAGGATGAGGCAGTCAATAAGATGTTGGTAATAATGGCAGTGATAGGGATATTGTGGATGAGGATTGTAATAAAAATTATCATTATGATATGGTCATGAGATGGTGCTGAAGATGGTGATTGTGATGATAATGGTGATGATGACGATTATGTGGGTAGTAATGGTGATGAAGGAGATGACACTGGAGATAAGGGTATTGGCGAAGAGTGTGAATGATGACAATGACATGTTCATGATGAACATGATGATGCTAGTGGTTTTAATGGTAAAGATAATATAATGAAGATGATGGCTGATGAAGAAGACAAAGATGTGGTAATGATGAAATGATGATGTTCATAATGGTGTTGATGGTAATGATAATGGTAAAGTTAATGGTAATGAGGACTGAAAATGGTAGTGGTAATAATAAAAATGATGATTATACTGATGAGTGTGAGCTTGATGATAGTGATTATTGTGATGATATTTGTGACAACTGCAATGATAACAGCAATGATTGTGACAGTCATGGTTATGAGGATAGTGCAAGTGATAATATGATGATGGGGATGATGAAGATAAAAAAGCTGATGATGATGGTGAGATAAAGGTAATGATTCGGATTCTCTTATGATGATGGGGATGAGTGCAAAGATGATGAAAATGTTGGTAATGCTGAACAGGAAGATAATTTTGATGCTTATGTGAGGAATATGGAAATGGTGAAAGTGATTATAATGGTAATGATGATGTTCATTATGCTGGTGATGATGGCAATGATGGTGATGATGAACATATTGTAGATGATGGTGACAGTGCTGATAATTGTGATGAGAATGGTGATGATGAAGATGATGACAGCAGTTATGATGGTAATGTTAATGGTGAGGATGATGGTGATGATCATATTGATGATTAAGTTTATGATGATGGTGATGAGGAAATGATAATAGCAATGATGTTGAAGATGATGGTGGTGGACATGGTGATAATCGTAGTGATAGAGATGATGCTGTTGATGATAGTGATATTTGGTGATGATGATAAGGATGGTGAAGATAATGAGAATGATAAAGATGATGAAATAATGGGAATGCACACATTGGTAGCCATGGTAGCCATTGGTGGTGAGAAATATGGGGAAAATAATGTTGGTGATTATGGTAAAGATTATAATATTGATGATTTTGCTGATGATAAGAATCTGATGATGTTGAATCTTATGATCAGTATGAAGATGGTGATGTTGATGATGATGATGATGATGATTTCGATGACATTGCTGATAATGGTGATGATGATGGTGATAATTATGGAAATGAAGATAATGCTGATTTTATGGTGATGACTATGCTGATAATGGTGAGGATGAGGATGGTGATGATGAAAAATATGATGATGGTGATTGACAATTATGATGTTGAAAGTGGTAATAACACAGAAGATGATGATGAAAATGGTATTAACATAGATGATACATATGGTCATAATTGAATGGTGATGGTGATAATGAGGATGATGCTAAGGGTGATTGATGGTGGTGATTATGATTATGGTGAAGGTAAAAATAGTGATGGTGCTGATGATGAAAGTGACAGTTGTGGTGCTTTAGGTGATAAAGATGGTTGTGATGGTGTATTAGTCAGCTTGTGCTGCCATAACAAAATACCACAGACTGGGTAGCTTAAACAGCAGAAATTTATTTACTAACAGTTCTGGACACTGGTAGTCTAAAATGAAAGTGCTGGTAGGGTTGGTTTCTGGTGAGATCTCTCTCCTTAGCTTGCAGATGGACACCTTTTCATTGTGTCCTCACATGACCTTTTCTTGGTTTATGAGCAGAGAACGTGAGCTCTCTTGGAAGGACACAACTCCAATAGGAATAGAGTCCTACCTTTATGACCTCATTTAACTTTACCTTCTCAAGGCCCTATCTCCAAATACAGTCACATTAGAGGTTAGGCCTTCAACACATGAATTTCGGGGGCATAAGTGAATCCATAACAGAAGGTGACAATGATAATGAAGATGATGGTGAACGGTGATGATGATGAGGATGACCATGGTTGATGACAATGATGTTGATGATCATGACAATGATGGTGAGGATGATTGTGTGAATAATGATGGTGACCTGCTACTGCTGCTGCTGGTGATAAAGGTGATGGTTTTGATTATTATGAAGATTCTTTTGATTATGCCTATAATGTTCATAATTATGTAGGTGATGGCAATGATGATGAAGATGATGTTTATGGTGATGGTGATGAAGACGATGGCGATGCTGGTGTGGATGATGATATTGATAATCATGGTGACAGTGATGATGATGGCAATGGGAAGAGGGAAAGAAGGATGAACTGGTGGAGCATGGGAGATTTTTAGGGCAGTGAAATTATTTTGTATGTTACTATAATGGTGGATAATATACCTAAACCCATAGAATGTTTAAGACAAGATTGAACCCTAATGTAAACTATGAACTTTAGTTAATAATCATGAATCACCATACCTGTTGATTGCTACATTGATCATGTATCAATATTGCTCATCATTTATAACACATGTGCAACACTATTGTAAGATATTAATAGTAGGGGAAATTGCATGTGCATGTGTATGTGTGTGTGTGTGTGCATGTATATTGGTGGGTGGGTGAGGGGAAGTGTTGGGATATATGAGAACTCTACTGCTCAATATTTAGACAAAACTGCTCTAAAAAGTAAAGTGTACTGATTTTTTAAAAAAGTCAACCAACCTAGGGGCACCTGGGTGGCTCAGTGGGTTAAAGCCTCTGCCTTTGGCTCAGGTCATGATCCCAGGGTCCTGGGATCGAGCCCCACATCCGGCTCTCTGCTCAGCGGGGAGCCTGCTTCCCCCCTGCCTCCGGCTGCCTCTCTGCCTACTTGTGATCTTTGCCTGTCAAATAGATAAATAAATCTTTAAAAAAAGGAAAGAAAGAAAGAAAGAAAGAAAAAAAAAGTCAACCAACCTACAAATGAGCCAGAAAGAAAAATACATCAACAATGAAAGAATCAAGATTAGATTGATACCTAACTTTTCAATGGTATTCTGGACTCAAGAAAGCAATGGAGCTATTATTTTTTTGAATATTGAGGAAAAGAACTTTGAGCCTAGACTTTTTATCTAGCTAAATTGTTATTCAAATGTAAGGGAATAATAAAAATGGTCTTTGGGTAACTAGGCCTTAGGAGGTTCGTTACACAAGAACCCAAATTGAAACTGGAACGGAAGTACTCAAATGAAAATCCAAAAAAATCCAAAAGATAGTTCTGGAAATACAGCAACTTTGGATGACCAAATTTCTTTGCAAAGTTTTTGATGTCTTAAAAATAAAATAAAAATAATTTCAGGACTAAAGAGAAGAAAAAATGAACATATATTCATTAAAATCCATAATTAAAATTATAGGCCATATTAATATAATGGGGATGACAGGTGACCAAATTAATTTAAGAGTGTGCTAAACTTCTAGTTTTATTAGAAAGAAGCTACAGATATTAATATCTTTAAGAAATTAAGAAAAGTAGCATACCTGGGTGTCTCAGGTGGTTAAATATCTGCTTTCATCTCAGCTCATGATCACAGGGTCCTGGGATAGAGCCCTGTGTTGGGCTCCCTGCTTAGTGGGGAGTCTGCTTCTCCCTCTGCCTCTGCTACTCCCCTGCTTGTGCTCTCTTGCTCTCTCTTTCTGTCAAATAAATGAGTAAATCATTTTAAAAAAGAAATTAAGAAAAGTAAATATACATGAGTATGATATTTATTTAGTTAGTTAGTTTCAGAGGTAGAATTTAGTGACTCATCAATTGCATATAACACCCAGTGCTCATTCCATCAGATCCCCTCCTTCATGCCCATCACCCAATTACCCCAACCCCCCAACCCATCTCCCTACAACAACCCTCAGTTTGTTTCCTATAGTGAAGAGTCTCTTATGGTTTGCCTCTCTCTCAATTTTTATCTTATTTTATTTTTTCTTCCTTTCCCCTATGTTCATCTGTTTTGTTTCTTACGTTCCACATTTGAGTGAAATCATATCTCTGGCTTATTTTGCTTCACATAATACCCTCCAGCTCCATACACCTCAGTGCAAATGGAAAGATTTCATTCTTTTTGATGGCTGAATAATATTCCATTGTATACAAACACACACGTACATACCACATCTTCTTTATTCATTCATCTGTCAATGGACATCTGGGCTCTTTCCATAGTTTGGCTATTGTGCACATTGCTGCTATAAACATTGGGGTGAACGTGCCCCTTTGATTGACTACGCTTGGATCTTTTGGATAAATACTGAATAGTGCAATTGATAGGTTGTAGGTTTTTTTTTTAACTTTTTGAGTTAACTCCATACTCTTTACCAGAGTAGCTGTACCAGTTTGCATTCCCACCAACAGTGTAAGAATGTTCCCCTTTCTCTGCATCCTCGACAACGTTTGTTGTTCCCTGTGTTGTTAATTTTAGCCATTCTGACAGGTGTGAGGTGGTATCTCATTGTAGTTTTGATTTGTATTTTCCTGATGCTGAGTGATGTTGAGCATTTTTTCATGTGTCTCTTGGCCATCTGGATGTCTTCTTTGGACAAATGTCTGTTCATGTCTTCTGCCCATTTCTTGACTTGGATTTTTGTGTTTTTTGGGGGGTGGGTATTGAGTTTGATAAATTCTTTATAGATCTTGGATACTAGCCCTGTATCTGATAAGACATTTGCAAATATCTTCTCCCATTCTGTAGGTTGCCTTTTGGTTTTGTTGACGGTTTCCTTTGCTGTGCAAAAGCTTTTTATCTCGATGAAGTCCCAGCAGTTCATTTTTGCTTTTGTTTCCCTTGTCTCTGGAGACGTGTCTAGCAAGAAGTTTCTGTGGCCGAGGTCAGAGAGGTTGCTGCCTGTGTTCTCTTCCAGGATTTTGATGGATTCCTGTCTCATATTTAGGTCTCTTGTCCATTTTGAGTTTATTTTTGTGTATGGTATAAGGAAATCATTCCATTTCATTCTTCTTCATGTGGCTGTCCAATTTCCCCAACACCATTTGTTAAAGAGATTGTCTTTTTTCCATTGGGTATTCTTTCCTACTTTGTAGAAGATTACTTGATCATGGAGTTGAGGGTCCATTTCTTGGTTCTCTATTTTCTTCCATGGATCTATGTGCCTGTTTTTGTGCCAGTACCATTCTTTCTTGTTTACAGGTTTGTAATACAGCTTGAAATTTAGAATTGTGATGCTTCCAGCTTTGGTTTTCTTTTTCAACATTCCTCTGGCTATTCAGGGTCTTTTCTGGTTCCATATAAATTTTAGGATTGATTGTTCCAGCTCTGTGAAAAATGTTCGTGGCATTTTTTTTAAAGATTTTATTTATTTATTTGACAGAGATTACAAGTAGGCAGAGAGGCAGTCAGAGAGAGAAGGAAGCAGGCTCCCTGCTGAGCAGAGAGCCCGATGTGGGGCTCGATCCCAGGACCCTGGGATCATGACCTGAGCTGAAGGCAGAGGCTTTAACCCACTGAGCCACCCAGGCGCCCCTGTTCGTGGCATTTTGATAGGGATTACATCGAATGTGTAGATTGCTTTGGGTAGGTAAGGCATTTTAACAATATTTGTTCTTCCAATCCATGAGCATGGAATGTTTTTCCATTTCTTTATGTCTTCCCCTATTTCTTTCATAAGTGTTCTATAGTTTTCAGAGTACAGATCCTTTTGTGCTTTGGTTAGGTTTATTCCTAGGTATCTTACGGTTTTTGGTGCAATTGTAAATGGGGCCAATTCCTTGATTTCTCTTTCTTCTGCCTCATTGTTAGTGCAAAGAAATGCAACTGACTTCTGTGCATTGATTTTATATCCTGCAACTTTGCTGAATTCCTGTATCAGTTCTAGCAATTTTTGCATGAAGTCTT